AAAAAAAAAAAAGAAACCGTGGTGTATATATACAATGGAATATTGTATTTGGCCTTAAAAAACTGGATAGCCACCATAGACACCATGCTAAGTGAAATAAGCCAGACACTGAAAGACATATACTACATGATCTCACTTTTATGTGGAATCTAAAAAAAAAAAATAGAAAAAAGATAAACTATACAGAAATCGAGACACACCATTGTGGGCATGGGGGGGGGTCTGGTGGGAGGAAACAGGGAGATGTATGTCAAAGTAGCAGATACATAGAATGAACAAGCCTAGTTATATAACGTACAACGAGAGGACTATAGGTAAGAAAACTGCATTAAGGATTTGTGTTAAATAAGTAGATATTAGCTGCTCTGATCACACACACACAAAAGGAATGACATGGTAATCTGCTTAACTAGAGTAATCATTTTACTATCTACATGTATCCCGTAACATCATGTTGTGAGCCTCAAATATACACAATAAAATTTATTTTTTGAAAGACCCACAAAAACACTGATAGAGCATGTAATATCTTTTTCTTGATTACATGCTTTGCACATGTGTGGGAAATTAAATGCTAATTGGTGTAAAAAAAGTTCTAATATTTTCTTTTGGTACATAATTACCTTTTAACGTAACTCACTATGGGTATTACTGAGCTAAACAACATTCATCTAATACATATAAGCTCCCTTAGACTGTTCCCTAGTAGTAAATTTTTAGAGAAATTTATTGTGTAATCTTCACGAAACATGAGTGTCTGCAGTAGACGATCTACAAAAATACAGAAACAGTCACCATTGGTCACTTCTTTTGTGGACCCTAAAAAAGCACTTGACTCTTGATGTTTCTATGGTGAATAAAAGTATGTTTCAGGTATACAACTTTCAGATAACGTAACTTGGTAAAGCAACAAGGCTTCAATGATATAGAGAAAGGGTTAACTGATTACTTCATCCTTTAGATTATCTCTCTTGAGTATCTATTATCTGGCCTGACTGCTAAAAAGTTTATTGTTGAAAAGATGATATAACACCATAAAAATGTTTTAAAGTAAACAAAATCTTCTACAGTTCCCCCCAAACATAACCTTTTCTGCATATAAATTTCTAGCCCCAATACAATCTATACACAGCACATCTTAACAATTTGTAGCCTAGCTTCAATTCCTTTTCACTTCACTGTTGTAAACTTCTGAAATCTGACTATTTTTTCTGAGTTGTGACCTCACTAATATAGGACTAAGTATAAAGTTAAAGTTAAGTGTACACATTTGTGAAAACTAGCAAACTGCCTCTAGTGTTTACAGGACACTTTTCTCCTTGGCTTCCAGCCACGGGAGCTGTTGGCTCTGCTGGCAGAAGCCAGCTTGGGTAGAAGAGTAGTTTTACTCCAAAACAAAGCAACTGATGTTATTCATTGCTCGGGTGTTACTGAGCTGAGCCTTGTTAGAAGTAAAGAATGGAAAAGGCCAGAATTAAAGTTGTCCTCACACAAAGGAAAAAGTTCAGAATGAACCTCACTGTGCCCCTACAATGCCACCTGCAATTTTCCTCCTTCATACAAACTCCTGCAGCAAACACTGAGCAGGTACAACCTACCATATTCCCTTTCGTGGCGAGCAAGGCTTACAACACCATTATTTCTTCCACTGCTAAGATTTCATTGCAAGCTCCATTGGGAAACTAGAATTAGTCTAGAAGGGCTACACCTTATTCTAAGTGTATCTAACATAAACATCTGCAGGTATCCTCCGAAGTGAACAGTAACTGTTAAAAACCCACATTGACATTGTGGGGCAGAAAAAAAGATCACAGAGCTCCGAAGATTACTGGCTTTGGAGTCAGTGGGCTTGCGCCAGTGCCAGCGTCAACACTTACGAACTGTGTGGTCTAATTCTGTGATACGGCACAAGTCACTTACCCTGAGTCAATTTCATCTTCTTCAAAATCGGGGAACTAAGCAGTTAGAGCAACTAAGAATCAAGAATTCGGATAATTAATCCAAAGCACCTACACTGAGCCTGGCACACAGTTGACTCCCTCACCACTCCCTTGCCTATTTAGGTGTGCCAGGATCTCCTGCTCTCCCATAGATTCCCTCGGCTCAGTCACAAGCTCCCATCCTACTGACTGCCCAAGCCAGGCAGTCCCACACCAGGGGACGATCCCCTTCCGTTTGTTCATTCATTCAGCCAACATTTATTAAGCCCCGACGAGGCAGGCCCTGTAGTGAACACGCAGATGAAGGAGGCCGGGTCCCTGTCCTCAGGGAGTTCACTCTGCAGTGAAGAAAGAGATTGCAGACAGCAAGAAGACGGCGAGAAGTGCTGGGGCAGCAACATGGGCTGAAGGCCCACAGCCTCAACCTCATGAGCGAAAGATCGGGCCAAGCGTGCAGACGCGGAAGGCTCCAACCTACCTGCCCTCTCCCCCACCCCGCAGCCGGGCCCGGAGGGGCCAGACCCCACCACCACCCCTCTGCCAGGGTCTTCCCTCCTACCCTGCTCCGGGCTGGGGCCGGCCCGCCTCGCGGTCCGGGCCCCGCTCAGGGCTACCTGAACTCGGGCGGCTGCAGCGCGTTCAGCGCCGCCTTGTCTAGGCGCTCCATGGCGTCGCTGGGCCGGCGGCAGGCGCCCAGGGGCAGGCAGGGCTCGGAGGTCACACCCGGTAGGCTCCCCGGCGGCAGGTCCAGGGGGCCGTGCCGGAAACGCCGGAGAGCGACGGCCCGCAGTGTGCATGCGCGGCGCGGCGCGGTGACGTTAGCCCGGCTGGGCGCAGGCGCAGGAGCGGGGCAGGCTCTCACGTGACTTACCGGCGGGGGTTCCTCGGCGAGCGCGTTGCTAGGAGCGGCTTGTGCTCGAGGAGGAGGCCGGGCGAATAGCCCAGCCACTCCACGTTGAGCCGGGACTTGCCGCGCAGCATGGTCTTCCCCGGCAGGCGACGGCCACGCTGCCTCCTGAGCTCGCGTGAGCACCTGTTGTCCTCGTCGAGGTCCGAGTCGCCGAGCTGCGGCTGCGAGTGGAGCTGAACAGATGAGCCCGCGAGAAAGGACGACCCTGCAGAGAGCTGGGGTGCTAGGCAACTGATCAGATTCCGACGACGACAACAACACACAAAAGCAATGCACATTATTCCCCAGCACTTGAGCGAACGCCTCATTAATGACCGCCCGCAGTAGAAGGAAATCCAGCCGTTGGAGGCTGGGAGGAGGTCGTTTAACACTTACCAGGGTCCGTAAAACTAGAGATTTTCAGAGCTGAAAGAGCCCTTGCTGAGAGCGACTGTGCCACACCCGCTGCCGGTGACCCCGACTTCCACTCAAAAGTTCAAAACATACTTTGCAGCTGCTCAGAAAGCCGCCAATGAGACAACAGGGACTCAAATAGTAAGGACAGATGGGCCTCCCGGGCCTTTGCAACCCGAGAGAGGTATAAATGAAAGGGTGCCTAAGCCTGGGGTCAGGCTTGACAAAATTAGGTTGCCGTTGGCAGCTAGTTAGAGGACAGCCCTTACATGGTCAACGCCTGGAAAGGTCCACTGACTACATCTATTTTCTGCACCACATGGATACCAAGACCACATCTGAAGTCATGACTAAATCAGCGGCTTAGAGCAGTGGCGGGGGCGATGCCCTGGGCAGCAGGAAGCTCGGGTTTGAGTTCCAATTTAATAATCCCTCTCTGGGCCTCATCTAGACCTTAAGTGAGTAAGAACCATCTAATGTAAGAACTTCCGGCAGAACTAGAGAGACTCTAGCTCTGAGGTGGGCAAACTTGGCCAGCCGACCAAATGCATACAGACTGGCACCTGTTTTTTACAGCTGTGAGCTAAGAATGGGTTTTCCTTTTTTTTCTTTTGGATAGTGTCTCACTCTCACCCAGGCTGGAGTGCAGTGAAATGATCATGGCTCACCACAGCCTGGATCTCCTGGGCTCAGGTGATCCTTCTGTCTCAGCCTCCCAAGTGGTTGGGACTACAGGTGTGCGTCACCACACCAGGCTGATTTTTTAATTTTTCATTTTTTGTAGAGACGAAGTCTCACTGTGTAGCCCAGGCTGGACTTGAACTCCTGGGCTCCAGCATCCTTCAGTCTCAAGCCTCTCAAAGTGCTAGGATTACAGGCATGAACTACCACACCCAGCCTTTCCATTTTTAAATGGTTGAAAAAGTCAAAAGAATAACATCTCATGACATGAAAACTCTATGAAATTCAAGTTTCAGTTTCCATAAATAAAATTGTATTGGAGCTCAGTCATATTTGTTTGTATTGGCTACAATGGCAGTGTTGAATAGTGCCAGGGATGGTATGGTCTGCATAGCCCAAAATGTTTACCATTTGATCCTTGAACAGGAAAAGTTAGATGAACCCTATTCTAGCTAATCACCCTACAATGAGGTCCTTGAACCCTAGGGACCAGTAAGTACAGTGATGGTGGTTCTGAGGACAGTTTTCAGTATTTTAAAAAACCTATTGAGTATACTCACTTGATAAGCCATCTAAAGTTACTTATCACCTTTCTTTGATTTTTTACAGGCACTGATTATATCCTGATGAGGTTATCCTGATATCTTATAAAAACACGGTACACAAATTATTACCAAAATAAAATAAGCCATAGCATATTTGGTAAACTAAATATTTAAAACCATGGAAGGAACACAAGGGAAGGGATCTTTGCTTTGTGACTTTATGTATTCCCAATGCCTAAAATGGGTCCTGGTATATACTAGGCACTCAATAAATGTTTGTTAAATGAATTGAGTCCTCAAGAGGACAAAGAGCAAAAGAGATTGGAAACCATGACGCAGTTGTATTAGTTTGCTGGGACGGCCATAACGAGGTGGCACAAACCACGTGGCTTAAACCACAGAAGTTAACCATCTCCCAGTTCTGAAGGCTAGGAGTCTGAGATTAAGGTGTCGTCAGGGTTGGTTCCCTCTGAAGGCTGCGATGGGAAAATCTATTCCCCTAGCTTTTCTCCCCGAACTTCTGGGGATTTGCTGACAATCTTTGGCATTCCTTGGCTTGTAGGACGATCACCCTGTTCTCTGCATTTCTCTTGAAATGGCCTTCTCCCTGAGTTTATCTCTGTCGAAACTTCCCCATTTTATAAATTATATCAGTCATGTTGCATTAGGGGCCCACCTACTCCTGTGTGACCTATTTAATTACATCTGCAGCAATGCTATTTTGAAGTGAAGCCACTCTCTGAGGTACTGGGGCATACTCCAGCATACGAATTTGAGAGTGAGAGCCCACAATTCAACCCATAATAGTCTAAGCTCCTCCTGTACAAATGAAGAAACTGTGGCCCAGAAAGGGGAAGGGACTTGACAGAAGTTACACATCTCTCTGGTGCGCCGTCCTCGACTCCTGACTCCCAGGCTGACTTTTACACTGTCATATTAGCAGCCTGTTTGGAAGTTGTGTTACAACTCAAAACCAAAAACCATTCATAAGTGAGATTTGATGTGAGACCAAATTCTCATCCCATCTAATTTATATATTAGTGTTTGTTTTGTAATAAACTAAAGCTCTCATACATCTTTTTCCTGCTAACTCACGCATTTTACCAACATTTACCGTGAGCTCACTGAGGTGGAGATTGAACTTTTAGAATAAACTCAGAAGCCATAAGAGAAGGAAAGAATTTAGCCCCCTTGACAGAGACCTGAAGCTTCTTATCTGCAGCTGCTGCTAAAAAATTAGAGGTAAGTGGAGCTCAAAAAAAGCCATTGCCATGGGAATGAAATTGCATGTCAGGGGATGAGGCCACCACAGGGTAAACCATAGTAGTGCCTAAGTTATTTCCCCTCAAAATAAGAAACTGATTCTCAAACTGAAAGAACCCCAATCTAGCGTTTCATTTTACTTGAAAAAACTGAGAGGCAAACATGGGAAGTGTCTGTCCCAGACTCCCTGGGTCACTGATGGAATTTAAAAATGTATCCTTCCCAACTCTCAGTCTAGTGCTTTCTCCACCATATAAACTTGTGCTATTAATCCACTGACATGGAAAGAATATGCCAAAATCAGGTTCCACACCCCCAATTTGCTTTAGTAACCCATAAAACCATAGTCCTCTGCAGTTCCCTTTTGAGTGGCCACCTGTGGTTTGGATGGGACAGTCATACTTGAAACATCAACGGATACTTTCCGAGTTCTATCCCTGCACAGTGTGGTGTCTTAAAAACTTAGACATAAGGAAAATAGAAATAAGTTCCACCACGCAATCAACAAAACTCGTGTTTTTTAAAAAAAGAAAGGGAGAGACACTAACTCTGGCTTCTTTGTAATGCACTGTGAGATGTCTTTAAATAAAAAATCGGTAAAAATATGCCTCCTGATGAAAAAATGTAGTTTCACATTTAGAAAAAAAAGAGGTCTGAGTTAGGGGTTATTATAGTGCAAACCTCCACCGTCAGGACCCCCTGGACAATGAATTGTATTTTACTCAAGAGTCTTCCTCAGAGTCTGGTGAAAGATTCACAGTGCCCCTTGTCTCCTGACTCTCGATTACCCTGATATTTAAGTCAGGCTAACCTCTTCCAGCTCTGTCTGCCAGAGAGCTGAGTTGGGGTTTTACAGCAAGCGAGGGGACTTGCTAACAAGTTAAGGAATGTTCAGGTCACCCACCTGACCCACCTGTAGGGCATTAAGCGGAGCCCATAGACTTTCTGGCAAAAAGAGAGTAAGCACTGGGGCGTCGTGGCGTGGGCCCACTGCCTGCCCAGCCTGATTCGGGGTTGCCCTAGGGTCCTGCGTCCCCTGGCATCACAGTGGTCTCATACAATAAGAGGCTCCCCAGCCCATGAGAGGCAGCAAGACTCCAGTTAGCAAGCCCAAGGTGAAGGCCCCTGACCCAAGTGCTTTCCAGATGGGAAAAGCTACGACACGGGAAGAGGAACCGGACAACGGCACCCTGAGATTGATGTGACGGGGCCACACCCCAAGATACATACACGTTGCTCCCCCAAATGGTCAGGCCCTGAGGATGCGCTTGTGACCAGTTAAGCAAGTGCCAACGCCAGGAGAGCTAGGTCGGGGCTCGCCAAGACTCAGATCCCGGGCTTCTGGAAACACCATTCACCTCGGAGCTCTAGACCATGGCGCCTTTGGAGTTGGGTTTCCACGTGGTCTTCCCAAGTGCCAAGTGGGCGGGGCAGAGGCGGGCGGGGTGCGGGGGGGCGCCCCCCCCCCCCCCCCCCCCCCCCCCCCC